GCTATAGCGATTATGGACAATGGGCAACAAAATAACTATTAAAAGGCAAATAAAAAACAAAAAAAATAGTCTTCTTAGTACTGGTAGTCCTCATTTAACTATCATTCATTTGGTGATCATTCAAAGTTATGCCACTTTTCCCACTATTTATTAGTAGCAGTTGGTTACAGTCAGCAGTTGTTGGGTGCAGTATAGCTGATTAATCACTTTAGCATGATATTTCTTAGTGCTTATGAAAGTGGGGAAACACTCTGTAACTTCTGCATGCCTGTTAATGGGGTTTTATTACACTTAATTTCTAAAATGTAGAAGACTGTATGTAGGTGTGAGGACTCATTCATTCTCATTTAATTCTCTCTTCCAAGGGACAATTGTATCAAAATATTCAGGCAGGCATACTCAACGCAATCATTATTGCTGCCTACACACCAGAATAGAATTACCATTCTAGTCTGAGAAACTTAATGTATTAATAACTTAGGCTGCAAACAGAAGAGGCTGTCCTAGTAACATCTCTTATCGTTAAGCAAAGTAGTTTTGCATTTATAATTTACATCTGCAGCAGTTAAATAAACATGAACAATTGTACTACTAGGCCAAATATTTGTTTTGATTGCCTTCAAAGTGAAAAAATGAAACTGCAGCAGGATGCATTATCATTCTTCGTGCTTCCCAAGAAGACATTAAAATGTAACTCAGCTTTTTCCTTTTATGCCCAGTAAGACAGACATTATAACAAATTATTCTACTAAGCCATCCATGAATCATGGACCCAAGCAGCATTCTTATTGCAGTAACACCTGTGTTAAAATGTTAGCAGTCTTGGGATTTCATCTAAGGTAGAACACTGAAGAAGAGTAAAGACTTGGAACATTTTAATTGGTATGTAATTGCTTTTTTTCAGACATTACACAGTAGTCTTCAACTTACAGCCATTTGTTTAGTGACTGTTGCACTTTAAAAAGTAACTTCTGACCATTTTTCACACTTACAATAGTTGCTGTATCCCCATGATCTTGTGATCAAAATTAAGACACTTGGCAACTGGCATGCATTTATGACAGTTACAATGTCCCAGGGTCTTGTGATCACCTTTTGCGATCTTCTGACAAGCAAAGTCAATGGGGAAGCCAGATTAACTTATCATATTACTAACTTAATAACTGCAGCTATTACTTAACAACTATGGCAGGAAAGGTCATAAAATGGGGAAAAATTCACTTAACAACTGTCTTGTTTAGCAACAGAAAGTTTGAGTTCATTTGTCATTGTAAGTCAACTCTAGTAATAAATACAGCACATTAGTATTAGTATAGGTTTATATTTGTAGGTTTATATTCTGATATGTTTATCTTTGTGTTTTTCTGTCTTTATGCTATCTGTACAATTTTTATAAAGTGTATATATAAAAATAAAAATGTGGAATAATACTGGCCCCAAGACAGCTTCCTGCCACACCCCTCTCATTAAGCTCTCCAATTCAATATAGAAACATTAATACCAAATCTCTGACAATCATTAGCGAGGCGGTTGGTGTCACCTGTCTGCAGTGCCATTTGAACCACACTTAACAGCTTTCAAAAATGTTCCTATTATCTACTAAAGTGGTTACCTTGTCAAAGATGAAGATAAGCTTTGTCTTACATGTTCTATTTTTGAGAAATTTTTAAATCTATTGTTGACTCTTAGCAATCATAGTACAGGTAGTCCTTGACTTATGGCCACAATTGAGCCAAAAATTTATGTTGCTAAGTGATAAATTTGTTAAGTGAGTTTTGCCCCATCTTACGACTTTTCTTGTCACATTTGTTAACTGAACCACTGCAGTTGTTAAATTAGTAACATGGTGTTTAAGTGAATTGGGTTTCCCTGTTGACTTTGCATGTCAGAAGGGTGCAAAGGGGATCACATGACCCTGGGATACTGTAACTGTCATAAATGTTGTCAAGCATCCAAACATATATCACGTGACTATGGGGATGCTGCAATGGTCATAAGTGAGAAATGATCATTGATAGTCACTTTTTCAGTGCCATCATAACGTCAAACGGCCACTGTTGTAAGTTGAGAAATACCTGTACTGTCTTCAAAATACTTTAAAAGGGACTACTTTTATTATCTGTTTGAACTTCTTTCCATGCATATTAGGGTTATCAGTAGATGATTACCAGTATCCCATTTTTTAAGACAGAGGGGGAGGGAGGGGGAGAGAGAGAGAGATCTAGTTCTCCAAAATTCCTTATTTGTAGTTGACAGAATTGGAGTTGATACCTAAAAGGCCCAAGCTATATTGAACAGGTCATCCACAGTGGGTATATCTTCTTTTTGGCAAAAGAGCCAGACTTCAGTTCCACACCTACTATCTGTTTGCTGGAGCCATGGAAGGAAGTCAAAGCTTCTGGATCTGTCCTCAGTGCCCAACATTCTCAGGGAGACACTATGGTCAAACTAGTAGGCCTATGCTTCTCTTTTTCAGTTTCCCTCATGGATCATCCATGACACAACTAAACCAGCTCTAAATTATGCCCAAAGCTCAAATGAAATATGCTTTGTTTCAGAGCATTTACATAATGCTAAACGTAAAGTAAGCCATGCGAGTTTCTTGTTTTAAAATAATAGATATAAATTTTAAAATGCTTTAAGTAGTAAGCATGGAATCCTAATATAAGAAGAGAATACATTTATTTCTACTGGGAGTACACATTCCATCCTAAAACATGGCTGCAGATTTCAGAGCTATTTCATAATTGCTGCATTAAATATGCACAGACGAATAATAGTAACTATATTTTATCAATTTAACTTAAATATCCAAGTTAATTCGTATCCATTCCAGTCCCACCCAATTCTTAATCCGTACTGTTCACTTTATAGAATGCAGCCCCCAGGTATCTCATTCAAAAACCAAAAGCATCTGTCAGCCCAAAAAGATTCTACCCTGCTGATATGCATAATGCACTTATTTCTATCCACAGTTGCAGGCATCTACAAGCCTCATTAGAGTGTATCATTATTGGCAAGTGAATGTTGATGTTCTTGTTCCCTCCTCCTCTTTTTGCTACCTATTGATTAATTTGAGGCTGTGTCATACTTCTGGTGTAAGGGTTCACTGCATATTTGTTGATTGATACACAATTGTTGCTTAAATGAAATCCTATTGTCATTGGCCTTAGCACAAATATAGGCATTAGTAAAAATAAATGTAGTTTTGAAGAGCATTTGTTTGTGTATTCAGCACATCCTTTTGTGACTGTTGAATGCTACTTTTCTGTTGTTTGCATACAGGAAAATATACTCGCCTGGTTGCTATGGGAACCCTATTGATCTTATGTTAACAAGCTTAATACTAGATCAGTGTCACTATCCACAACAAAAGTTGATAGTGATGTATAATATCTATATCCCATGTTTCTGCTTTATTAGATTATTATTGTGATTTACTTTATGGTTAGGGAACATTGTATAGGACAGTGATGACGAACCTTTTTTGGCTTGCATGCCAAAAGCAGGAGGAGCGCAGGGGGATTGTGCACAGGTGTACTACACCCATAATGCTATTTGCACGAATACAGTGCACATGCGCGCATGACCAGCACTTTCTCCATTTCCCCCCCCCCCCACCCATTTTTGGCATGCTTTTTTCACCCTCTCCAGACTCCAGAGCCTTTAAAGGAGCCTGGGAAGGGAAAAACAGCCTCCCCTGCACCCACCCACCCCCCGAGGCCCTCCGGAGGCTTCAGGACCTTTCCTGAAGCCTCCGGAGCGCAAAAAAACAGCCCTAAGGGAAAACTGGAAGTTTGGGAACAGCTCCGGAGGGCTAAAACCAGCCCTACGAACAAACCAGACGTGACTTCGGTTTGCTCATAGGGTCATTTTTTGCCCTCCAGAGCCTTCAGGGAAGCCTCCTGAAGGCTCCTGAACGCTCTGGAGGGCTAAAACAGGCCTTATGAGCACACCGGAAGTACGTTCCTGAACTTCCTGTTTGCCTGAAGGGTAGGTTTTTCGCACTCCAGAGAGCAAAAAAGACCAAACACCGAAGTCAGCTGGCCAGCACGCGCATGCATGCTGGCCAGCTGACAGGGCAACACCTCGTGTGCCCTGACAAATGGCTCTGCGTGCCACCTGTGGCATGTGTGCCATAGGTTCGCCATCACAGGTATAGTATTTAACTTGTGCTACCTGGGTAGAAGAAACTATACCTGGAATTTTTCCCTATGCATCCTAGAGTCAGATTTTAGAAGATGCTTATACTGAATAAATCTGTACTACAACGTATCCATACTTTGAAATGGATGAATAGTGGAGACATAGTACTACAATACTTTTAACCAACATAAATCCTAATGGTATTTTTGCTACAAGTTTGAACACTGCTCCATTAATGGCTTTCTGCAATTTCGGTATTTTAATTACCCTCAATAGTTGACAAAGAAAAGGAATTATTATGAATTGTGGAAAATAATTTGCATATTCCATATAGAATTCATACAGCAATAGCAGTTAGACTTATATACCACTTCATAGTGCTTTACATCCCTCTCTAACTGATTATACAGAGTCAGCATATTGCCCCAAACAATCTGGGTCCTCATTTTACCCACCTAGGAAGAATGGAAGGC